TGATAAAAAGAAAATAAAGAAGAAATCTTATAGCCGGCCGAGGTTGGGCCAAATATACTTCATGTAGTTGATGGAAACGAGGCCCCTCGCCTCATATCCTTCCATTCTTTTCTTAAATTTGATGACTTCTGCTCGTTTTGAATGTGGCTGCTTCGAGGGACGGTTGGAGTCCGAACTCCATGCAGAACAAAACGGTTCCCATTTCCAATATGATGCATCTGGATTGGCTGTCCACGCCCATGTTAGAGTAGAATAGCCAACGTTCCAATCAGACTGGAATATTGGAAACATTCTACTTGTAAAACAATTTATTGGAATTTATATTACTAAAAGACATTACTTTATGTTATGTATTTGCATATATTTGAACATACGATAAAGTCCCTAGATCATTAATAGTTATAAGACATGGTTACGCATTGGATGGTAATAATGGAACATGCCTTGAAAGCTGTGATCTTAAATAAAGTTCCAAGTCGATGGGTATTTCGAGATGAGATATCGAATAATCCAGTAAGACTTGCACATATAATGTATGCTTGTTGGACAAGAATGTTGCATTCCATCACCATTAGCATTGGATGCAAATACATATATGTGGGTGCTTGATAAAGAGCAAGTTCACTAAACATGACCGTATGAAAATTCTTAAATGTAAGTTTTACTGTCAAATAAGAATTTTCAAGTTGCAATAGTACATGACTGATCCTTTGACTTAAGGCACGATAGTAATCTTGTGAATGTTATACTTTACTTTGATTTATCTTTTGATTACTGGATAATCATAAAAGGGATATTTTGAGTATTGTATTAATATGTATGGAGGTTTATCAATGGGCCAATAAAGAATTCGACACTTATGTAGATAAGTGAATTTTTTATGTTTTTCATAGTTTGTCATTCAAAGACCTTGGTCAAAGCAAGATGAATATAAATTCATAAAGGAATCACTAAACTTGAAATGGAATCATAGTTATTAAATCAATCGGGTTTCGACTTATAAAAACCATACCCAAGATTTAATCGGGAAATTAGTTGTCGAAAGGATTTTACATCTATGCACTTGCAATCGAAAAGGTTTACTCGCTATTTCACTTAACACTAGATAATCATGATACTTGTTAGGTGTTCCCATGATTTGTGGGTTCTTGAAATTAAGGAGTTAATTTCAAGAATATAAATTAATTAGATTAATTTAAATTATAACTTGTTGTAAACCCTCTACCAGTGTTAATAGTGAACCTAAAAGGGTCACACCAAATTTTGGATGATGACAATATTGCAATTGGTATTTCCAATAGTTGGATTAATTGACAAGAAATAATTAAGTAAATGGATTATTTAATTAAATCTAATTTGATTAGATGTCAATTAAAGGAATATAATAAATTAATCAATTGGATTGATTAATTAGGCTTTGGATATTAATTAAGTAATTATTGAAATTACTAAATTGATAGTTGGATTTTAAAGTTGGACTTTAAAATTCAAATCCAAATATTAATATGATTATATATTAAAAGCCTACTTAAGAGAGGAGATTTTATTTTACATGGGAGATTGTATTTTGGCCAATTCATTTTGAAAGTTAGTTTCATAAATTATGTGTCATGATATTTACTTAATCTTTAATTTATATTAAAGATTAAAATTAAAAATTGAATAAATAAATAATAATTATTATTATTTAATATGGTAGATGAGAGTTGTTGACCATCCCACAACACAATAATGCTACATTACAATTATATATATGATATATACTTGTAGCAAGTGAAAAACACCTCATCATCATATTAATTAATTAATATTAATTATGTGTTAGTTGTGTATTTCAATTATATATATGATATATACTTGGATTAAGATAGTACACCAC